TAGGAAACATATGAAGAGGTATAAAATGTAGAAAACTTGAGCAAGACACCAAATGGGCAGAATATGTACATAACAAATTTAAACTGTGAAAGATGGGATGTGATCCAAGTAAAGCACATTTGAGCCCCATTTATTTCAATGGGAAAATGAAGCACTGTGAGATCCCAGAAGTGGGTTCATACCTGGGGCTCAGCTGGACCCATCTTCTTTGAAAATCCACCAGTAGCTTTACTGACTTGTTCCAGCTCTCCCCACTGTGATTGGCCAAGGCCTTTTCATGACCCTATACAAATTCCCAATTCTTGTTCACAGACTTGATGCAACAAGGGGCCAAACTAGACAGTACTTTATTTTTTTTTTTAAATGATATATATTAAAGTTTCAAAGAAAAAATTACATATATATAAAAATAGAAAAAAATAAAAAGGAAAAAAATACAAAATACAAAATACAGAAAAAAGATAGAAAACACTTAAAAAAAACAAAAACACATCGATCTTTCCATAACTTACATTTCATTTCCTTACTTCCCTGACTTCCTCACACCTCCCTTTTTGTATTCCAGTTCTATTAGTTAATTCAGCAATTCCTTTCCCTCTTTGTTTTTGTCTTAATCCTTTAACTTAACATATTATAACTTTAGATTCTCATCTGTTAACAATCCATTTGTACATACACCTTTATAACATTGCTGCTAAGACCACTTAATTTCATTCTGACATCATTCTAACATTCATTAATTTTGCAATATTTCTGTAAATAGTCTTTAAATTTCTTCCAATCTTCTTCCACCGACTCTTCTCCCTGGTCTCGGATTCTGCCAGTCATTTCCGCCAGTTCCATATAGTCCATCACCTTCATCTGCCATTCTTCCAGAGTGGGTAAATCTTGTGTCTTCCAATACTTTGCAATAAGTATTCTTGCTGCTGTTGTGGCATACATAAAGAAAGTTCTGTCCTTCTTTGGCACCAACTGGCCGACCATGCCCAGGAGAAAGGCCTCTGGTTTCTTCAGGAAGGTATATTTATATACCTTTTTCATTTCATTATAGATCATCTCCCAGAAAGCCTTAATCCTTGGGCATGTCCACCAAAGGTGAAAGAATGTACCTTCAGTCTCTTTACATTTCCAACATTTATTATCGGGCAAGTGATAGATTTTTGCAAGCTTGACTGGTGTCATGTACCACCTGTATATCATTTTCATAATATTCTCTCTTAAGGCATTACATGCCGTAAACTTCATACCTGTGGTCCATAACTGTTCCCAGTCAGCCATCAATAGGTTATGTCCAACATCTTGTGCCCATTTAATCATAGCAGATTTCACCGTTTCATCCTGTGTATTCCATTTCAACAGCAAGTTATACATCTTTGACAAAATCTTAGTTTTGGGTTCTAACAGTTCTGTTTCTAATTTTGATTTTTCCACCTGGACGCCTATTTTCTTATCCAAATTGTATGCCTCCATTATCTGATAATAATGAAGCCAATCTCGCACTTTGTTTTTTAGTTTCTCAAAGCTCTGCAATTTCAGTCTATCTCCCTCTTGTTCCAGAATTTCCCAATATTTCGGCCATTTGGTCTCCATATTGAGCTTTTTCAGAGCTTTTGCTTCCATCGGTGACAACCACCTTGGGGTTTTATTTTCCAGTAGGTCTTTATATCTTATCCAGACATTAAACAATGCTTTCCTGACATTATGATTTTTAAATGCTTTATGTGCTTTGACCTTATCATACCACAAATATGCATGCCATCCAAATACATTATTAAATCCTTCTAAGTCCAAAATGTCTGTGTTTTCAAGAAGCAGCCATTCTTTCAGCCAGCAAAAAGCTGCTGATTCATAATAAAGTTTAAGGTCTGGCAGGGCAAATCCACCTCTTTCCTTTGCATCCGTTAGTATTTTGAATTTTATTCTGGGCTTTTTGCCCTGCCAGACAAATCTAGAGATATCTCTCTGCCACCTCTTGAAGCAATCCATTTTGTCCAAAATTTGCAATGTTTGAAAAAGAAATAACATTCTAGGCAATACATTCATTTTTATCGCAGCAATACGGCCTAGCAGTGAAAGCTTCAAATTTGACCAAATTTCTAAGTCTTTTTTCACTTCAGCCCAGCATTTTTCATAATTATCTTTAAATAGATTCCCATTTTTTGCTGTCATGTTAATCCCCAGGTATTTCACTTTCTTAACCACTGTTAAACCTGTCTCATTCTGAAACCTCTCTTTCTCAATCACAGTTAGGTTTTTCTCTAAGATCTTTGTTTTTAACTTATTCAATTTAAATCCTGCAACCTGACCAAATTCTTGAATCAGTTCCAAAACCCTTTTAGTACTAGATTCTGGCTCCTGCAATGTCAATACTAAGTCATCTGCAAATGCTCTCAATTTGTACTGTTTAGCTCCGACTTGTATACCTTTAACCAACTGGTCCCTTCTAATCATATTCAACAGGACCTCCAGGACCGATATAAATAGCAATGGGGAGATTGGGCAACCTTGTCGTGTCCCTTTTTCTATCTTAAATTCCTCCGTCACCACGTTGTTTACAATTAATTTAGCCTTTTGTTCTGAATAAATTGCACTTATACCATTTTCAAAGCCTTGGGCTACCCCCATCCCCTGTAGGCTCTTCTTCATGAAACTCCAAGAAATATTGTTGAAGGCTTTCTCCGCGTCCACAAATATCAAAACTGCCTTGGTATTAATATTCACTTGTAGTTTTTCTAAAATATTGATTATGTTTCTCACATTGTCAGACAAATGTCTACCCGGGAGAAAGCCTGCTTGATCTTTATGTATCTCTTCCATTAGTACTCTTTTTAGTCTTTTAGCCAAAATGTCTGCAAAGATTTTGTAATCCACATTGAGCAGTGATATGGGGCGGTAGTTCTTAAGCTGGGTCTTTTCAGTCTCTATTTTCGGTACAAGTGTAATATACGCTTCTTTCCACGACTCTGGTGCCCTTTTCCCAAACTAGACAGTACTTTAAACGTGCAACTGCATTTGCATACCTTTACAATTAGCTAAGGGACCCGGGTGGCACTGTGGTCTGAACCACTGAGCCTAGGGCTTCTCGATCAGAAGGTCAGCGGTTCGAAACCCCGCAACGGGGTGAGCTCCTGTTGCTTGGTCCCAGCTCCTGCCAACCTAGCAGTTCGAAAGCACACCAGTGCAAGTAGATAAATAGGTGCCGCTCCGGCAGGAAGGTAAATGGTGTTTCCGTGCGCTGCTCTGGTTTTGCCGGAAAAACTGTCTGCGGACAAACGTCGGCTCCCTCGGTCAGTAAAGCGAGATGAGTGCCGCAACCCCAGAGTCGTTCGCGACTGGACTTAACTGTCAGGGGTCCTTTACCTTTTAACAATTAGTTAGTTGGTTGGTTAGTTTTAGGAATAACAGCCACAAGAGTCCCCTGATCTAATGTCTCCCCTCTCCATGTGCTGTGAATGCACCTATGCTTATTTTTGTGTAAAGGACATATATACTTGTGTAACTGCAGACTACATATTAAGTCTTTTGGCTGTGTTCACATGTTCCTGACTTACTGTGGTTTAATGAGCAAGTTCAGGGGAGATCCAGGTTGGTGGCAGCACTCCTACAGGCACATGATTCTGCCAGGAGGAGGCCATGTTCTCTGTGCCTTTACCTTCATGAACTACTGCTGATTAGAAAGAGGAAGTCTGAGAATGAAGAAAATAATCAAACTGTCTTCATAACTCTTGCCTCTTTCTTGATGGGGTTCCTACTTCACACTCACAGCTTAGGTATTATCACTTCTTTGCAAGATTGTTTACATTTCTGATTAAAAGCTAAAGGTTGCATTCTGCTGGCTTGAAGAGCTTTTGTTAAAACTCTGTATGTTTCGCAAGCTGACCAAAGCAGTCAGAGGTAAGCACCACTGAGTTATATGGAGCATATTCCCAGGTAACTCTGCATAGGGTGTGTGGGTGTGTGGGTTTAATGGCACTCTATACATAGAGATATAATAGACTGAAACACTTGCATGACTTTCCTTTGGGAGCATGGTTCTGAAGGCTGTCATGCTAAGCTCCGGCATCTGTATCTAAATGTATATGGTTTTATTAGTTTTTCAAAGAAACACGAGAACAAAACCCCTTTAACAAACATTCCCTTGCCCGCTCCCACAAAACACAGAATCCTATGGGAAAACATTATTCAAAAGTTTCAAATGTGAAAATGTGAGTCCTGTGGATATCACTGTATTTGATGTTCTGTTGAGTATATGATAAAAGGATACCATGTCTCTATATAATCTACCCTCGTCTCTCTTTCCAGCTAAGGTTTTAACTTCCTAGTCAGTTTCCCCCCCGAAAGTGCTATGGGCCAAACTTTCTGCTTCCATTGTGATATTTGCAAATTCTAAAGATTTCCAGTTTGGGGCAACAAGTTGTTGAGCTGCTACTTTTTTAAAAAAACACTGACTCATTTCTTTGTATCTCAATTTGACCTTTTTTAAAAAAAGATTGTTAACAATACTAAAGTTGGGGAACAAAGAACATTTTTTTCTGATCAACTTATTTCATCAACAACATTCTCCCCAAATAGTTGTAAGTTGTCACATGTCCACCACATATGTTCAGTGATTCCAACCTCTTCACACACTTTCCAGCAAAGAGGAGAAATAGCCTTGTTAATATGACTGCAGTTGAAGGGTATTAAATGCCACCTGTGTAGAAGCTTAAGAGTATTTTTTTTTTATTTTAAAAATTGTCTTTAAGAGCTACTTGGCCCACAAGCTCTCCCAATCTACCACCTCAATCACTGTCTCTGGATCTGATTCCCAAGTATGTTTTATCAAATTTGTTTGGCCTAATTGCATGACACTTGCAATCAAATTTTCAAATGGTGTGCAATGTCTAGAAGTGTGGGCAAAACATTCTGGATTTGTTAGCATCTATATCTATGTAAAGAAATCCAATCCAATAGTGAATGGCATGGTGGATGGCAGTGCTCATGTGACCTCCTGACAGCTGAGTCACTGCTGCTTTTCAGGGGGGAGGGGAGGGCAAGGAGGCAAGGAGGTTGGACGGGTGCAAATGCACCAGTGGAGCCAATCTGGTGCTCCTGCTGATACATTTGCACTGTGCCAACCTCCCCTCTGCCTCGCTTCTCCCCCTTCTGATAAGCAGCAGTGACCTAGCTGTCACGAGGTCAGGTGAGTGCAATTGCCCCATAGCTGCTGAGTCAATAAAACCAACTGCATAAGCAAGTGTTACAGGATGTGAGAGTTGTTTATTACAAGCACTGGCACTTCAGAATTTCTCCCTATACCATTGGGGTCTCCTGTATGTTCTGTGTGTACCTCCAGTCCGTGCCAAAGTGAAGAGAATTTCTGGGCTGGCTCACAAGAAGACATTGGGTTGGCTCTTACATGGCAATGATCTTGCCATTTTTATTAGCCAATTTCTCCCACACCTACATTGATTGACACCACCAATGAAGGACTGCACATTTTGTCAGCAGTTTCTTGGTTCTGTTCAAGCATCCACTTTTGAGTTGCCCAGCGGGAAAAGTCCTGCCAAGTACTAATTGTCCGTGTTACAGTTTTGAGGGTGCCAAAGCTGCAGCTCAGATGGAAGTTTTAATGATGTTAATGACAAAAAGTGAAAGCAATGCAGCTTTTTCACCTGAAGAGTTAAAAGTGCATATTTAATTATTTGCCAACCTGCCTCTTGGCTTCTTTCTACTTGCCCCAGGCAATCACTTAACTGAAGTTTTTGTCTTTCATGAAGATTATTTTTGAGACAATTTTCTGCTGGGGAAAGGCCTTGGATTGACAGCTCTGTCACAAAATAGAATGTTTCAGTCTACAGATGTGGAAAAAAATCGTTAAGAGTTTTTATTGGGTGGCATAGTTCATGGCACTGACAATGCAAGAAATTCTGCTGTTACATATCTTCAGCAATTTTTCTCGCACATTTAAATGCTAGTTCTTATATATAGATTCCTAGAGTCTTTCCCCTCTTTGTTATGCTATTCACATTTTTTCTTCTCATTACAAGCTGGAAAGGTATGTGGGTGTGATTTTGTGGATATGCCTACTTGCCTGCCCCAATATCCCCCCCCCTCTCTCACACACACACTATGCAACAGTATATGTCTCATCTGTTCTGATGTCATTGTGAGTTTGGGTAGCTGAGAGGTAAGGAGAACTTTGAAGGTCTTAGAATTTAATGTCCTGGAGTAATTTTCTGTTAATTTAAACTATCAGATGATTGTTACCAATAGCTGTGGGCTTTCCAATGACACCTGGGGAATGCAAATTGTTTGAATGGCTTTCAGACCCTCTTGAGGAAACTGATGGTCACAAATATACAATATTTATGGCTTAGGACATGTGATTGTGGGTGTGATGCAGAAAATGGGTATAACACAATGTGTCTCAGTTCACCACGGAAATGAATAGGGTTTAAGCACACAGTGAAACCTTTAGATGTAACTCTACAGGAATGGGGAACGTGGACTGGAAATGGGAATGGACTCCCACCAGGGTCCAACACTACTTGGAGGACCACAAGCTACTCATCCCTGATGTAAAGGATGTTATTCTTTCGTGAAATGCTGCACTTTACTTAAAAACGTGTAAGATGTTGGATATAAATGGGGGTGTTTGGTAGTTTTTTTGCCAGTCTCCAATTTCTTCTACTTCTTTAAATTGAATGCTTTAATATATAACTTTAATTAGAAGCCTAGAGTTGAGTAATGAATTTTACCTCAATACTTCACTTATCCATGAGCCTTGTTCCTCAGGCTATCAAGTTGCTTGGCGAATGTTAGAAGGTGTGAACCCCCCCCCTCAAGAACACAGCCACTTTGGGATCTACATGTCCAGATTTCAAATATAATTAAAGCAAAGGTAGCAGCTGTTGTTTATGAAAGAGAGAAATGCAAGAGGGTGGGAGCAGGAGGCCCTTTGCATCACCCACTTTCACACACACAAAAATTGTCAGGAAGGTGAAAAGGTGAATTCACTGCCTTCAGCTGACCCCGGCAAATTGAAAGAGAAACACTGCTCAAGCAGCTTCTTCCAGTGACTTCATTTTATTTTTATTGCAAGTCATGAGCATGACTGCTGAAAAAGTGACATGAGATTTACAGTGTGTGCATTTCTCCTTTGGGGAGAGCATCTTTGAACGTACTGAAGCTGCTGTATACCTTGCCGTATACAGAGCTTTCCTTCAAGCCAAAGGACTGTGTATGTGTGTTAGTCCATCTAAGAATGTTCCTACATCACAATAATCGAGCGCGCTCTCCTGAGAGGGCTTCTCAGCATTAATAGGAGAAGCAGCTCTGATGAAGTCATGAGGAGAAACTGTGTTTGATACCAAGAGTTGGATAGTCGTGTCGAAATACCTGAGTTTCCAGAAAATAATCACCAACTGTGTCAGGTGGGGCAGCACAAGCTATGCCACATGGCCTCCTTCTGTCCAATTTTGTTATTTTCTGATTAGCAGAACAGGCTTTGGCTAGCCATGCAAAAGCACCCTAAACCTGCTGTAACTGCACATGTAAACCCTGGGCTTCTTTCTCTCGGTATATTAAACAGAAGGACGAGGACACGAATTGGGGGGAGCCATCTTGTCTCTTTCCCCTACCACTCTTTGGCACATCTCATTCCCACACCATCTCCAAGCAAACTGTTTCTTGTGAAGTGTCACCATAGGTCTTTTATGTGTAAATATTTCATTTTCCGATAGAGCCTTTTTTTTTTTTTGGGGCGGGGGTGGTGGTGATTATGAATTCTAGATGTGCTGAGGGGCCTTGCTATGCATGAGATGCAGAGGAACAGCAAGGACTTAGCAAGGAGGAAAGGCATCCAAGAATAAGAAATAAGACAGTATGAAGCAAACTACTGATAAAAAGGAAGTGGAGTGAGAACGTTGCTGCCTTTCCATCCATCCTCTTGGGTGATTTTTACAGCCTTGCTTTGGACCCTGATAGGGCCTGACAAGTACACATATAAATCAGCTTTGGACAGAAATGAATGTGGATATCTTCCTCTCTTTAAGCTCCTGTGGGCAGAGGTAACAAATGAACAGGAGGAGTGACTAAAGGAAGCCTTTGGGATGCGAAGCAACACAACCTCCCACTTGCTCACACAAGTGAGTTCAGCACAATTCTTTCCTGTCCAGTATCATCAAGCAGACCTAACCCTGTCACGTTGCTCGGGGGGGGGGGGGAGGCATGCGTATCCAGCTTTCACAATTAACGTGGATTTGGTGCTCTTCCACAACAAGCCCATTTTTTAAACGGTTTAAAAACCAGAGTTTTTGCAGTAGGGAAAGGGCAGGGGAATTGCACTGGAAAGAGCAGAATAACAAATGATTGATAAAACGCAGTATAACTGAAATGCAAACATATCAGGACACATGCTTAATAAACAGATTCTCTAGAAGATAACTCTGTGGTCATTGCTTGCCCCGTGGCAATCCCCACCCCCCCACCCCGCTGAAAACCTGCACCCATTTTGTTGTTCTTCAAGACACCTTTTCCAAAATGGCTTCTCTGTGTTTGTACTAGTTCCCAGGCGCATCTTCATTGCTTCTGAGATCACCTCGATGGCAACCCTGTACACTTTCTTCCAGTCTTTTGCTCAGATCCCCGTCCTTGCCCTAGATGGGAGATCACAGCTCTAACGCTGCCGTCCAAGAAAAAAAGAGGAATTTGTGCTACGGTTGTGCTGATGAGAAGCTGAGCCCGGGAATCAGATAACAGAAGTTGCGGCTTTTATTTATCTAAAGATTCGGTGACATACAATTTTCTTTTCGAAGCGTGCTTCTAACAGCCAGCAGCGACTAAACAAAAAGAAAGACCTACTCTGCAATGTACTGTGCCCAATTAATTTTTTTTATACAGCACTGCACAAGAGGCAATTTAAAAAACTTTTTTTGGTAAAAAAATAAAATTGTGCCTATAATATTACTTAATAATAATAAAGGTAAATAAAGGACACACAGATGTGATAATTCTGAGAGTACAAGAATCCTAGCCCAGATTCGGGGCTCACTCACACTTCCACTTGTCCCCTGCCTAGAAAGCGGCAAATGGGGGAAAGTGGTGGGGCAAGTGAAAGTGTGGATGAGGCCTAGGCCTGCCTGGTGTGACACGGCCACTCCTGAATTCCACCCTGCTTGTGAAACCTGCACTGAATGCCATACCCCTCAAGCATCCCATTTTGAGCAGAACATCCCAGAATTACAGAAGCTATTGTGGATTCTGATTAGATACTGGAATGTCCTCTCTTTTTTTGTCTTGGGCTATTGTGCAAGTCTGCTGGCTCCCGCGAGAGATTGGGACCAAAAAACAAGCGTCCCCGTTTTGATCAGTGGGATATGAAATGCTAATGAATTTTCAAGGTTTTTTGTTGTTTTTTTAATAAAAAAACAACAACCCATCATCATCACAAGCTGCTGTGGGGAAACCTGGAGAACTTATCTTACAACTGGAAAAACGAGATACTGAGGGAAACCAAAATTGACAGATTCACCCACCCCAAAGTCAGACCCCTGGTCTGCTTAGTTCACTATGGTCTACTCTGACTGGCAGTGGCTCTGCAAGATTCCAGGCAATGGGTAGGCAAACTAAGGCCTGGGGGCCGGATCCGGCCCAATCACCTTCTAAATCCGGCCCACGGACGGTCCAGGAATCAGCGTGTTTTTACATGAGTAGAATGTGTCCTTTTATTTAAAATGCATCTCTGGGTTATTTGTGGGGCCTGCCTGGTGTTTTTACATGAGCAGATTGTGTGCTTTTATTTAAAATGCATCTCTGGGTTATTTGTGGGGCATAGGAATTCATTCATTCCCCCCCCCCCAAAAAAATATAGTCCAGCCCCAGACAAGGTCTGAGGGACAGTGGACTGGCCCCCTGCTGAAAAAGTTTGCTGACCCCTGCAATAGCCTTTCCCAGCCCTACCTAGCAATGCTTGGAGTCAAACTTGGGGTGTTTTACATACAAACCACGTGTGGTAGCACTGAGTCACACCTCTTCCCTCTGAGGAAGCCCTGGCAATTTCCCCAGAAAATGTGCTAAAATACCTTAGGCTGTCATATCTGACAGCATTTGATGGTTGTTGTGCAACCGTCTTTAACATTTGATAGTTGGCATGTAATATTTTAAAAAGAAAAGTAATAAAG